AATTTATAATGAGAATGGTCTTAATACTACAATGCTATCAAAAAAGCACACAGAGTGGTTACCACACTAGTATTTAACTGATATTAATATGCAATTTAATATTAAATTAGTTAGCATTTCTTTCGATTATTCCCAAATTGCCTTCCCTTAGCTTTATTAGAAATCAGCCCATCAAAAACCATTTTCGGTCAGTTCTCTGTTTATTTACCCTCGTCTTCAGTAGCCCGAGTTTTCATTGTAGTGCATCAAAGACCGCTCTAATTCCCCCAATGCCATTTTCCAATTACGTTAATAGCTCATAACACGACGTTTTTGTTTGTTGTTCTTCGCTTCGGACTCTTTAAAGCCGCTTTAGAGAGCTTTTGTGGCACAAATCGAGAACTGATTCTCCGAATCGCTCATTCGGCCGAACAATACCAAACAATCCGTGTAGCGCCCTCCCCCACGAAAATGTTTGGTTATCGGGAAGAGCTATATATACACAAAGTGATGTTTGTGGATCTGCTGTGGCATATTTTTCAGCTGACTTTGGGCTCGAGAGTAATTACGCCGGAGGGCACTTAAAAGAATCGTGGCTGCTGCTGAGGCAGCTTCTTTTTGCCGGGGGCCATAAAGTTTTTATGATCCCCATTGATAGTGCGAGAGAATTCAATGGCCAAGCGCCCTCTGGCCACCGCATTTTCCGCCCACTCTTTGATTTTCCAGCCAGATCGGATCAGGTGTACATCACCGATTTGACAGTTGATTCTGAGTGGTGATCGAAGCCAAATGCAGTTTTCGAGGGAGCAGGTCCCTCGGAAAGTCTTTGTCTCTGTGGATACTTTGGATTTGTTTATAGGATTTCTCATCCGTTTGGCACCCATTAGTCATAGCGGTGGAAGCATGTCTGACTATTCCTTTCTTTCCACATTTTATTAAAGGAGGCTACTTTTCAGCGGCATCGTCAGACATAAAGTTATTCCCCAGTGTGCACAGAAAAAAATGGAATAAATGGAATAAATCTAAACATCCCGATTTCACATCTTATAGCCAAACCCAATTATGGAGCTTATCATTCATCTTTAATTAGGATTTATGCACACTTATCTACACATTCTTTTGATAATTGCTTTTATCCGAAATGAAAAGCTTGAAGTAATTAGCAACACAGCCAAATAAGTTTCGGCCATAATTTCTCTCTGTGAGATTTTCACCTTTTGTTTATTTGTTGAATCAGCCCATCAAACTGGGAAAAAACACATCTCGAGTTGAACGTCAGTGCTGGTAATGTGTTAACACAGTCAGATAAGTACGGGCCACTAAATACTCCGCGTCTGAGACTTTAGCGCAAACATTTTGACAACTTGTGAACTTTAGACTGACAACCCGCCACTGCTCCTCTTCATCCAGTCTCCTCGGCTCCTGCTCGATACTACAACGTGGTGGTATCATAAGCCATAACCGCAAAACCCCCACTAACAATTAGGAAACAATCACAAAAGCTGCCGAAATCTTGGGATGCGCGAACAAAAATAAGTTTGAGGTATATAAACAGAAAGGCACCAAGCAGCTGAGGTATCATCGTGAGGGGCAGCTACATCAATATTACCAACGGCGATTAGCCCATATTTGATCAGAGCTACCAAGCTATGAATCTTTCCCGCAAAATCGAGATCATCAAGCTGGAAGCTGAAGACTGATGCCTTACATAAGCAACTCTTGATAGAACGGGAAAAGGCAAGAAATGATTTGTAAGACAATACTAATTCTAAAAACATAACTAACCGCTTTACTTATACTTCTGCTTACATCAATTTTTAAACAAAATAAACAAATTACTTTGTTAAACGTACAGATAAAGAGGAAACAAAACCCTGACGGTGAAGTGAAGCGAGACTTCCTCTCTTTGAGCTAGAAGAAACAAATGTGAATCATTTTTTATAAACAATTTAAAAGCTAAGAAAAGTATTCAAGGCATATATTATAAATATATGAAAATTTAGAGATACAAAATTAATATAAATTAATCACTCAGACAGCATAATTACTAAGGCGCGTCTTAAGTCAGTAGCACCAGATTAGGTCGCCATATAGAGGAGATCTGTGCCGACTGTTGACTGACTAGGCTTTTGGCTTCTGCTCCCGTTTCTGTTCTAGATGGCTTTTAGCTTCTTGCCAGCTCCAATGGCCATCAGCTGAGCTCTGTGAAATGTGTTTTTATGGTATTTGAAAATGATTAGCCGCCCAGATACGAAGACGAATCGCTATGACGCGAACGTGTCTGAGGATGGATGTGGATCTGATGGAGCTTATGCAAACTCTGTGGCTTGGTCGCGAGCTTTCCGAGTGAGTAGGACGGTGGTGGAGTTCAAAAGTGGCACAATTTTTATGATCATGCGACTGGGTTTGATGCTCATATCTGTGTGTGTTCCACCTCCCTTTTCTTGACCACCAGTTGATATTGTTTCTGGTTTTTATACTCTGTTTGCTGTTACCTGAGCTCGTGGCCTAGCCCAACAGCCGGAGAGCATGCCAAAGACCAAGTCGCTAACCTTTTTTATCATCCGAGATGTACACGAAAAAAAGATGACAAGTTTGTCGCGTGTAAACAATTCGCGGCGGCCAAAACAGAGCGCGGGTGGAGGAGCCATTTCAGGGGGCTGAGTTCCCGGCGGAGGAGGGTTCAAAGGTACGGGCTGGATGGCAGAGCAGTGTCACAGCAACGGAAATCAAGAGGAAAGATGTCGGGCTGAGTCGGTGACCGTAGCCGAGTCAAAGAGCCAACAGTGAGTGGGAAAAGCAGGTTCCAATGGTGGAGGAGTGGTTAAAACTGATCGGCATAATATAATATTGCAATGCTATTTATCACTACGTTGTTACAGTTCAGTAAGAGCCCAATGTTACTAAAGTCAGAGAGGAAGCAGAAATGCTTTTAGTTCTTGTTTTTCTAAATCTGCTCCTTTAATATAAATACTTTACGTCACGTTCTCTTTTCTTTCAAATGTAATATTAGGTATGTTTCATAACAGTACTTTCACTCAGTTTGCTTACAAATGGCAAGCACTGTAGAAGCGCCGTCAAAAAATAAAGCACATCCAACACAATCTACAGATACATTAGAAAATATCTCAAAAATCAACACAAAACTACGGGCGGTGGCGTCGCAGCCAACTGAGACGTCAACAGCGCTGGCGACGTTGCACAGTGGGCTAGATCAGGTTTTCATGGTCATGAGCTTGAACAATAAAAACTTCACGGCAGGCTTACGTACTGGAGAACTTCTGCATGAACGCACTTGAACCGGATAATGAAAGCAAAAAAATATTAAAATATTTATGATTGGGCTGTATACAAATTTAGCGCTGATAAGCAGTTTTATATGCTAAAAGTCCCTTTTTAATATTGATCAGCAATATAATATATTCGATTGGAACATCAATATCACTAGTTACCTATAAAATTATGGAAGCAGTTACCATTCTAAAAGTATCAGCTACACACTTAGTTATTATATATGTTCTTACTAATGAGGCAACTTTTTGGACTTTTGAGCCGGAAAAGGTCAACGTGGCCCAGTGTGCGTTGGGGGTACTGAACAGAACGCCACAGATTTTGAGCGCTCGGATCGCGCATGAGTGAAATAAATTTTCACGCTTCCAAACAGAGCGTCAGCAGAGCAGCTGAAGTGGGAAGAGACTTTTCGACGGCGACGTATCACAATCAGAAACGATCCGACAACCGACCGACAACCGCCGTCCATTCATAGAGTGACTTATATTTTTTGTGGGGTCGCAAGATCTCTCCGATCCGATCCGATCCCATCCCATCCCATCCCAGCCCATACGATCCGATCCGATCCGTTCCGTTTGGATCCGATCCGATCCGATCCGCAACCGATCCGCAGAATCAGTCAAGAGTCCGGGCCCGATCGGTATTCGTTACAATTCGCGAGTGAGTTTTTCGCGAGCGCGGAGGAGGTGGAAAATCCCACGGTTGTTACGCGTTTACGTTCTCGAAATGATCGGCTAGCGATCCGCCAGATCAGAGCCATATGAACGGTCAGCGCGAGTGTTCCGATCGCGAGAAGAATTCTCCTCGACTCGTCTCGATGTTGGCAACATGGGAAAAACGGGCGCAAAGGATGCGCCACAACTTCTGCGGAGATCGAAATTAACGAAAACATAACTGAGGAGCAAAAAGGAAGATCCAGCCAAAAGGCTTGCGAATATAAAAAGCAAAATAAAAAGTGCGAACAAAAGCAGAGTCGCGCGACTTGGGTCTTCGGCCTGGGATTCTGATTAAAGCGCGCGTTTAATTTCATTTTTTACGCTACTCCCTGGTCGTCCTGCATCCCGCCATATACCGACCAAATCCCCATATCGTGGGGCCAAAAAAATAAAACACAATTCCCCAGTTGGACTCCACCCTTGGCCAGGCTTTTGATTCGCTGTTCAACTTTTTGGCCTGGGACTTTTTGTTTGCTTCGTTCGCTGGACCGCGAAACCCGGCCGACAACTCCTTGCCAATATTCCTTTTGGCCTTTTGGCTCAGTACGCCGGCAGCTTTCTCCGTGTGTGTACGCAGCCCCAGTCGCAGACAGCAGCGAAAACAAAAAGTGAAAGATCGGGAAGATCCAGATCCGCCAGATCCGCCAGATCCACCAGATCCGCCAGATCCGCCAGATCACCTCGGATCAGATCGGTGATCATGTCGCCCGGTATTCCGCCACAAACCGCCAACTTCCCCCTGATGAAGTACACACATAAAAATATCCACTCAGCTCGAGCCGCTTGATTAATTCGCACACGTCAACGGTATTCAAATAAGCATCTCGTGTACTCATCGTGGCCGCAATAAAAACGGCGTTAACTTTTACTACCTGCCAAAAAATACAGCAAAAATACAACATTATATACATATATGCGCATATACAGCACTCACTCACTAAACAAAGTAAATTAAAACAGCTCAACGGGCCAGAATTTGGTTTGTTGCCGCTGCATTTGGCGGCTTCAATCGATATGCGTTTGCTCATGGTAATTGCAATTTTAATATTCGCAATGCCAATGACTGGATTCGGCTGGTAAGTGGCATTTAAATACCTATTATCCGTTCACAGATACTTAAAAGTCGATACAAGTGATTAGTGGGAAATAATGCAATTGTTAAATGTTTCCAAATACATTCAACATGTTAATCGCTTAAATTATACGCACTCACGCGTTTTATGGACTGTTAAGTAAATAAAGTTGCTCTAAACATATAAAGTACACGATTTCTTGAATATTAAAATTAAGCTAAAAATTAACAAATATTTGTTCTCTATTATTATTTAATTTTGTAACGATGCCACCCGAATATCCTCAAAAAGAAAAGATAGTATCTAATTTTAGTCATCTCGCTTAGTCGTAGGCACCTCAGCTAACAAAGTCGCTCAACATGCAATTTATGTTCCGTTTCAATGCCAAAAAACCCATTACCACCCTCTCGAAGGCCTTTTGGCCACAGAGCATCTGTGTTCACGTCAAATCGCATCAATTTACGAGATAGACGCAACGAGATTGGCGCAACCGCTTCCGGTTGGGGAGACAGCAAATAAAAAAGTGCATGCCCCAAAATAAATGCGTTCTAAATGCAAATGCAAATGCAAGTCCAAATCAGAGCCAATCGAGCGTGGCGACCGACTCGGCGGACCTTCAGAATGTGACGTTTGATTTAGATTTAATTACATGGCAACTTTTCTACTCTCCCTCTTAGTTTTTGTGGCCAAAATAAATAGCAAGCGCGTAGAGGCGGATGAAGCCAAAAAGCCAAAAAGCCAAAGAGCCAAATGACACTTGGAGCAATTTATGCGCGAAATTACAGGCGAAAGGCGTCCAACGAGATGAATAAATAAATAAACAAACCGCGGAGGACAGACATCAAATAGAAAGAAAAATGGTGACGGGCAGGCAGGGGCTTCCTTCTAACACACAAGTTATGCACTTTGCCAAAATATTTGCCAGCAAAGTGGCATCAATGAATTTGTCCCAAGAGGTCTGCTCCTACATTTTATACATGCTCGTCCATATTTATGCGCCCAAAGGTAGAAATATTGCGGCTGTCAACGGCGTCGAAAGCTTCAATCTGGCAGGGATGCAGTGTGGCCAAAAGGGGGCGGCGTGGGCGTCGCGTGGCGTAGACTGCATGACGATTACGTGGCTGCAGCCTCTACATATATACTTTTTATTTTCTTTATTTAATTTGAGTTCTGTGCAACTGGGCGCGTCAGCAAACGAAGGTGGACACCTGCGAAATTGCAGGCAGGCGGGGTGCAAAGTGGCTGGGTGCTTCCAAGCTGCAGCCAATGCAATTTCCCCTTTTTCACCATAAATTAATTAAATAATTAAAGCTCAAGTTCAGCGCTGTCAGTTCTTTCGCCGCCTTTTGATGTCGAACGCTGAACGCTGAACGAGATGTGAGTGTGCGTCCATGTGATCTCGTACCACCGAATGTTGCACAGAGAATAAAAACGAAACCTTTGGCTGTGCCACTTGCTACGCTCCATCTGCGCCGCTCAAGGGCGCATTTCTTTACAATTCTTTAAATTTCTTTAGAAATTTATCCTATCCTATTTCAAACTCCAGAAAAATGGCACATTTATGAAGAAGAATGTAGCTTAATCTATATCACTAAAGCCAACCCCCTCAAAAAGATCAAAGGCAAAATTTAACGCAAATGTGGGCAATAATACTCCACTCTTACATATCCCCCATATAAGAGCCGCAAAATAGAAGTACAATTTTAATAAAATCTGCCCGATCCATCAGCTACTTAAACGCACAAAACCGATCGATGGGTTTACAATAAGCGATCAAGTGCGGATCTGCGCAATTGCATTTTGCAATGGGTCCGGAAATAGCGAAAATGAGGCATTTGGGGGGCTTACAGCCCCACAAAATCGTATCTCATTTTGTTTGTGTGCATTTGGCGAAACTCGCAGGCGAAGTGCACTAAATCAAACGGTCGTTGTGTGAGCGATTGAGATCATAATCGATGGGCCAGAGATGGGCAAAGACGAATGTGGATCGTACTCGCAGTGTGGGTAGATGTTCCGTTAAATGAATGGAAATTCCAGGCAGCAGAGGGGCAGCCAATTACAGAGGAACTTACATCGAATTGCCGTTGATCGGTCAGAAATTTAGCGCTGATGTGTCTGGCTGATTTAATTAAAAGCGGCGCGCGAGACGTTGATGAAAATCTCGCGAATTGCGAGATCTGCTGCAGTTTGATTTTCCACCCAGAAACCCTAAATGAGCTCATATCCGTTGGAAAATCATTTGACATTTGCCGGCGACTTCCTGCTTCTCATTCAATTTACAGCACACAATTTCATTCATCGAAAATCCGTTCAGTCAATGCCCCTCCTCTGCTGAGTTTCCTACTATTTTTTTTTCGGCTCTCGCCGCATGTGAAATGGTAATTAATGCCAGGCGTGGCATTAATGGGTTAAGGCAACCAGGGGGTGGTGGGTGGCCAGTGGCCAGTGGCCCAGTGGCCACTTAGTCTCAAGCTGTGCTGGCTCCACAGTCGGTGGTTGCATCAACAACATTGCGCATACGCCGCGTGCACCACGAGATCATCTCTGCCGCGAATTTGGCACACTTCATGAGCCAGCAGCAACAAGCACCCGCAACAAAATGCAAAAACAACACAATAATTATGTTCAACTAACGAGCGGACAAAAGTCGGCCAATTGCCAAAATCCAATGCAGATGAGTTGATTATGAGCAGCAGAACAGCGTCTCTGACACAATTCGCTCGACATGAACGAGAGTACCGCGGTCCCGTGTCTCTAGAGAAAGTTTCACGTTCAAGTTTCTTTCCCCAGCCTGAAGCCCCAAAAGTAGCTAGTTACCGCGCACTAGATCGCTGCAAATCTCTTGGTCAAGAGTCATGCCATTTGTTTATTTTGTTAATTTGTCGCTTTCCCCCTGTTACATTGACGAATGTGTCTGTCTTCGGATTGTCTGCCAGATGCATCATAATTAAATCGGATGACGAACCAAAGAACGCGGACAGACATGGGTCAAGTTGGAGGACGGTGTGGCCCATGAACAGGTAGAGGGCTTGGCCATGATGTCTGTCAAGCGGCCTGTGCTCCTCGTCATCTCGAAGGGAGGATGATGCGCTGGGACCGGCGGTTTAAGAAAGTACGGAAGCTGATTAATGGATTCACGAAAAATACATACAAATTAAGGAGCATTCCCGAGACACTATGCATTCGTTTAAGTATTCTATTTAGCTTGCAATTTCCACATCATAACAAAATACTTTTTGATCTCTAATGGCGCTGGCATCCTAAGCTTCATGGCCGGAATCCTTGTCCATCGCCCGGTGCCCAATTCCTCTTTCCCACAACCTCAATCAGCGTGATTAAGCACAGTTTAGACATCCTTGACATGAACATGACCATGTCCGTGCGCCGATGATCGTTCCCTGGGCCCAGCTACGCCTATTTGAGCCGTAATTAAGTTAAACGTTGTCGCAATTTGCGCACCTCAAAGTCACCAAGCCCAGAGATTGATGTCGCTTTGTTGGCCCAGAGAGTTAAGCCGGGCTAAGGCACTTAGGGCTAAAGTTGAAGTCGTGCCCTGCCCACTGGAACCGAAGGAGGCTTGTTAAAGGAATGACATTGCCTGGCATCGCAGAAGACACTCATAGTAAATATGCCTGAATTATTAGCCAGCGTTTTTGTTGCGCCAATTGGACATGGACATGTCTGGGAAACAGTAAGAAAGGCTAGCTTTTCGGATCCGGGCACTAACTGAAAATGGGCTTAAAACCTATAAGGGTGAAGTGTATTAGTTTAAATCAAGGCGAATTTGTACGTGTTCCTGGCATAAGAATGGCCCTAATATCATTTCTGCTTACTCAAGCTTGGCACACGATTCACATGCAAATTAGTGATAATTAAGATGCTTATCTCTTAGAACGAATTAGAGGATATGTCGGGTGCCCAGGCAAGTAAACATGTTAATATGCTAATTGTCAAATGACAAACATCACCATACCCTCCTTCCCCAAAAAGGTGCCAAAAATGGTGCCCACACACGATGCCGCACCCACCGGTTCAGATCGGTGGCCAGCTCCCAGACATGTCAACACCTTTTCGGTGTTTCTAATTCATTTTCCCGACTTTTGTCAGTAGCTGCGGCTCCGGGGAACCTAATCGATTGTCAATGCTGCCGCCCACATCAAACGCTTCCCCTGGAAATTCGTATGCACAAGAGATCAGCACTTGCGCCGAGGCATTCTGTAGGCAAATATTTGAGCGCGTAAATGAAACTGACCAGCCACAACAGCACTTCAGTTGGCCAAGGCGAAAATCCAACGGACCAGCTCAGAGGCGGTCAGCACGAGCAGCCAGAAAAGTCAGCAGGCCAGAAAATAAAATCCAGAGAGCCGGCCAGCCGACCAGCCGACCAATCCAATGGCCATTCATTCACTTGTCAACGCTTTGTTTAAATACTTTGCCACTCGCATGTTGACAAGTGGTTTAAGTCGTTGATTTGTTTGCACTGAGCCCCGAGAAGAGGGGCTGTCGGGGGGAAAGCCGAGGATAGCTGCAACCTGACTCACAAAAATGAGTCAATCAAACAGTTCTACTTATTCATATAGGGATTTCAGATAGCGAGATATAAGAACTTCATGAGGTCGACTTCAATCGGGTTAAGTGCCCAACGGTGGGTTCTACAAACTTGTATTTATATATAACCTTTACTAATTCTACATTGGAAAATATATTTGTTTATTATTATTTTTTAAGGTTAATACCAGTAATAAGACTATAAAAGCAACGTTAAGTATTATGATTTGTGCTAAGCTACTTGTGCATGTAAAGGGAACTACAATAGGAATGTTACTGAATTTTAGTTGCTAAATCCTACTTTTCCTTTCTAGATATAAATGTCCCGCATATCCTGGATAAATATGCATGCTTAAACTAAAATTCCCGCATTCCGGGCAAGTCGCGAATAGTGGGGCAACTTTTGTCCCCTCGTTTGCAGTAGCTGCAAGTGCACGGGGTATGGGATGGTATGGGAAATTTCAACCACTTGTCTGTTTGAGACTACCAAACCAAACCGGGCACTTTGATCAATGCCAAAGCACCCAAGGAGAGAGAAAGGCAGATACAAAGGAAAAGAGAGGGAAAGGAATCACTGAAAGTCCATTGAGGCCTATAACGACACCCATACCAGGCAAACAAACGCACACAGATACTGGGCGCAAAATAAAGATACGTTTCCAAGTGTTGCTTTACTGGATGGGATGGAATGGGATGGGATCCCAGTGATGGGATGGGATGTGGTGGTGAGGTATCTTATGGGGAATGGGATGGATGGGATCGGATCAGATCGGTGGAGGGACCTGAGAGACCTGAAGTTGTGCTGGCTCCTTTTCATGTTCGCCGACAACTTCGCTGCCGACTTCGCTGGCAAGTAAACTTCAGTTCAACTTCAAAAACCAAAAAGTGTCGAACGATCGGTTGCTCCACTCTCTGTGCGGCTATTTTCCGCTTAACAAAAATCTCCTTTTTTTGTGTTGCGTTGCTATGCTTCGAGTTGCTATTTGTGTTCGGTGGTGGTGGCAACTTGTGTGGTTGAAAGGTGTTTGAGTTCTTTAGATCTCTCCAGTCATCAACGCAACGCAGCCAAGACGTCATCATCATCAAAGCAGCAACATTTAGAGTAGCAGCAGCAACATCTAGATTCCCAACAGCAATAGCAATAGGAATAGCAATAGCAACATCTCGATCGGAGATGGAGATGGAGATGGAGATGAAGATGATCATTGTGATTTGAACTTCAATTGTTTCTGCTTTGTTTACCAGCGCGTCTATCATTTGAAGTTTGTTTTTGGCGGTCGAGAGGCGGTTGTGATTGTTTTTGTTGCCTTTGGAGTTAATATTTTCGTTAAGTACTTGTGCGTGCGTGTGTCTGCTCCATTTGTTTTTCGGATTTTTTTCATTTTGTAGCTATTAAGTTGTCATAATCTCGTCGAGTGTTTTCATTTTTTGTGGCATTGCCACAGGGAGCTGCACTGCACTGCAACAGCCAGGTGGCAAAAGCAACCCAGGTGGGCATCGATAATGGGAATCTGAAGCGGTTCAAGTGGTTTATCTACTTGCTCCGAGAAAATTGGGGGCACCAGAACTGGGTTATCTGATATGCGGGAATGCCGAGAATGTTTCTGTATTTGGTGTTTCTAAAGGATCATTGAAATCAGCTAGAGCAATTTGCTGATATAAAATTAATTTGAACTCTAAGTCTTCTATTGAAATTAACGATTTGGTTTTAGAAAATATCACTCGGATATTGCTGTGTAGCACTGCTTACTGTAGCACAGAAGTCTAGTAAAATTGGTAGTATATGTCTGAGACAACAAATCAGATCCACATATCATCCGCTAATTGGCGTATTTGTCGGCTAAGCCACTACACTTATGAGTCTGGCGCCATCCAATGCGTAAACCGCTCCGCACACAAGTTCATTAAAAATAGTTTTATTTATTTATTTGTACTGCTTAGCCGAAATTGTCTGCGCCAAAACTGCAGAGCAAAAATACATACTTCCAAAAGATGAACTCAATTTTAGCGCGCTTTTTCTGCGCATTTTTTCGCCGTCCAATGCTGCGTATACGTAATGGCGACGATAAAGAGGTCCTCAGGCAATGTTTATTATCACAAAGCCGATGCGTAGGCAGAAGTCAATCAATAAAAGTTTCGCAAATACTTGCTCCCACCCACTACAATTTAGCCAATTTTTTTGCAATAGATGCAATTTTCGTTTTCATTTTGAATGCCATTTGCCGGCTGGTTCTGGGGCGTTAAAGTTTAATTTAGGTGGAAAATTAATAATTACCCAACAATGTGGGTGCAGTGAGCACACATCGATATGCACGTATAGCCGTGTGTATACCTATTCATTCCGAAGTATATATTCACTTCGAGATCGACTTCTCGGGTATGTGTCAGCATTCAGAAGCGGCCACTGGAAATTGTTTCTGCGGGCACTAGTGCTCGCCTTTTGGCGCTGATTTATGTTTTTCCATTTCAGATTTATGGCTTTTTAATAGCTCAATCGCTCGGCTCTTCGCTTTTTTCACATTGCACATTCGCGTGAAATTTGCTCTGCCTGTTCCTGAACTTTGCGCCGTTTTCCATTTGTTTGGAAAGTGTTTCAGATGGTTTATGCTCTGCCCGGTTTGCGATCCCCGGGTAAATAGGGCCTGCTGCGGCTACATTTGCTCAGCCCTCCAGCGCCGATTGATCATCTATTGCTTCCAGCAAATCGCGATTGCCATGCTTAGAGCCATAAAATTGGGGGAACTCTCAACTGAGTCAGTCTAGAAATGCAAGAAACCACTGCCAGCCACGGCGAACTTCAAATGCGAGCTACGCGCAGATTATTCATCGATGCGATGACAAAGTGCTTGGTCTGATAAATGCCTGCGGGACAAACCCTTCGGGGAAAACAAAAAGTTGGTCATAGATAATCGAATTTGGGTGCGCCCTGGTGGGGAGCTATGGGAAACAATAATATGGGTCTCTGAAAGGGATTAGTCAGAGCGGAATAAGGCAGAACGGAACAATGTCAATTTGGCCTAAAGCTGATGCAGCACTACTTATTCAACATTCTCGTTCTTTTTTGATATGCAAACCTATGTTTCCCCTTTTCAGGGCCGAGGGCACCAACATCCTTCTCGATCCAAATCTAATGTGCAAAAAGACACGTCGTCTGCGCGGCAAGTTGGCCGAAATCTGCCGCCACGATTCGGCCCTGCTCAAAGAGATCATCATCAATGGCATCAACCTGGGCTTCCGCGAATGCGAGTTTCAGTTCCGCAACCGGCGGTGGAACTGCACCGTTCTGCGCAAGAGCATGAGGAAAATCTTAATGCGCGGTAAGTAGTTTCCAAACTAGTTTCGGTGCAGGGGGATGCGGATGGCCCTAGCTTATTATGCAGTGCAAACGGGCAGGCTGTCAACACTCTGCGAGTGAGTCACGGGGGGAAACCAGGTGGAGTTGGCTGCCTAATTACAACTCATCGCTGCACGCCCCGACTTTATGGTACCTCTTTTCGGGTTGTCATGGACAAGGCCTTGCAGACCGCACCATCCATCAAGTTGCATAATAAAAATGCAGCGACCCGCGCTGATGAATAGCGCCTGAAATGAGCCCACAAAGCTGTCAATTTTAATAAATTATTGCACGGCAAGAAGGCGACCAGGAGGAGGAGGACTACTCCGCCGATCCCCGATCGCCGCACTTAATGACAACAATGCGCAAACAAAACACATACCAAACGGTGGGTATGTGCCATAAATTCCGTGGCCGTAACCACCGAAATTCTCCGCTGCTCGGATTAAAGCCTCGCCCTGTCAACCTGTCAGCGAAAATGAAAAATAAAATATTCGCGCAGCGGGCCCTCATGTAACACTCCATTTTAGGGTGGCTCAATACCATCACCTGTCGCGCTGTAAAAAGAACCAGCACTTAAACTTGCAGCGCATTACAAGCATTGCAAACTAAAATCGATTCGGATTTTGGTTGCGATTTCGCTTTTATTGAACGTGACTGCCAACACCTCGTGCGATTCGCGATTTGCGATTTGTGATTTGCATAGAGCAGCGATCGCCAATCGAACGAGCAATAAATCATTTTGTCGCCCAGGCTGACAAATTAAAATCAATCAGGCGACACGTGCTGACAGCGCTAATGATTGACGATTGATTGAGCACGCTTGGAATTGGCAGTCCTTGAGCAAAAAAGCGTATTTGCAAACAGAAAAGTTGTCATTTTAAGCAAAAATAGTAATGAAATGTTACAATATTGTAGCTATGATTAAGTACAAGGTGTCCTTACCATTTTGCAGATTCCCGAGAGACGGGCTTCGTGAACGCGATCACAGCCGCCGGAGTGACCTACGCCGTGACGAAGGCCTGCACGATGGGCCAGCTGGTGGAGTGCTCCTGCGACAAGGCGCACATGCGCAGGAACGGCGGCCAGCCCCAGATGGTGACGGCGGCAACCGCAGAGGCGGCACTGGAGCGGCAGCAGCAGGCGGCGATGCTGCGGCAGCAGGCAACAGGTTCCCCGCAGGATGCACATCCCAGCCAGCGGATGGGCCACATGAGCAACGCCAGCACCATGACCGACATGGCTGCGTTGGAGCATCGAGGTGGGCGGAATCGCAGGCCCGGCGGCAGGCGGGGGCGCCGCAAGTTCTGGGACAACATCAAGTTCCCCGAGGGGCAGTGGGAGTGGGGCGGTTGCAGTGACAATGTGAACTTTGGCCTGCGGCACTCGCGCGTTTTCCTCGACGCCAAGCAAAGGCAGCGGCGCAGCGATCTGGGCACGCTAGTGAAGTTCCACAATAATAACGCAGGCCGATTGGTAAGTAACCCCAACCAATTATAGCACCTGTATAGTATATGTTATTAGTATAAATAGCCCTGAAAGTGAACCCCTAACCCCGGCATCCTTTCAGGCCATTCGCGATGCCATGCGGCTGGAGTGCAAGTGCCACGGGCTGTCCGGCTCCTGCACGGTGAAGACCTGCTGGCTGAAGATGCCTCCGTTCCGGGAAGTGGCGGGACGACTGCGGGAGCGGTACGACAGCGCCAGGAAGGTGACGCTGCGCAACGACGGGAACAGCTTCATGCCGGAGAGTCCGCACACGAGGCCGGCGAACAAGTACCAGCTGGTCTTCGCAGACGACTCTCCCGACTTTTGCACGCCCAACTCCAAGACGGGAGCGCTGGGAACCCAGGGCAGGGAGTGCAATGTGACCAGTGCCGGGACAGATCGGTGCGATCGCTTGTGCTGCAATCGAGGACACACCCGCCGGATTGTGGAGGAGCAAACCAACTGCAAGTGCGTCTTCAAGTGGTGCTGCGAGGTGACCTGCGAGAAGTGCCTGGAGCACCGGGCGGTGAATACCTGCCTCTGAGTGCCCGTCATTGTACTACTTGTATATGTATTACTTTCTTCGGTTTAGTCAGGAATAGAATTTTGAAAGCTTTCCATTTCGCGTGATAGAAAACACACACTTACAGAGAAAACGTTTTAAGTATTAACTAACAAGTAAACACGAGTATCTCTAATCTTTTAGCTAGTTGTAAATACGGAAAAAAATCACATAAACATGCCTACGTTATATCATTCATATGCAACTCATGTAAGCCTTGTAAATAGTCGCAATAAAAATGAAGGAAAAACTAAGCCCGACAACTAGTTCTTATTTTTAGATAATGGCAAATTTCAAATAGTTATAGCTACTTAACTTCACTGAGCCCATTCTGGATTACAACTCCATCCGCTTGTCATCCAATTAATTGCAAACAAATTGAATTTTAAGTAACCAGATTGTCTACAACAATGATATGCTAAACGGAAATGTATTTCAAATCGATTCGCCCATTGATTGAAATCTGCATAAATGATTAAACGTAAATTAATGAAGACAACACAACACAACAACACACAAATCGATTGAACAGACGGGCAGCGAAAACGAGTTCCCAGTTTCATTCAAGTGTATCTATCTATCTTTTGGGCATAGTCATTCCGTTGACTTTCCCATAAATTAACACAATTTTATTGTTGTCGACACGAGATAAAAATCTATAGAAATTTGCCTAAACAGCAAACAAAAGTTCGATGACAACGGAATACATGCAAAACGCATTTTGAACAGAATGAAAATTGATTTGCCCATTGTGCATAAATTACCATTCACAGACAGATCGATGGAGCGCCATCTATCTTTGGGTGCATAAATTAGGAAATCAAATCGATTTCGCTAAATGCATGTAATTAAATGAATATCATATTGTTCCATTATGGGAAACAGAAGCAAACAAACATGCATTTTAGATGTTGCTATCAGCAAACAAAATTCATTGGAATTTCGTATTGGGTGGTACAAAGTTTGTGATGAACGAGCTAAGCGATTTGTGAGTTTAACTAATTTAAATTGTGGGCTCATTTCATTTGACTGGGAATTAATATGCCAGGAATCACTTCTATGTCACTTTAGCACAAATCTTAATCACCCAGTATATTATTTTAGAAAGTAATACTAATATATGTAAAACCTATTCAGATAATGCACTAAATTGATCAAATAAATTAGGAATAAGTTCTCCGCTCAAAGAAGAACTCAAGCATCGGAGTAAGGAGCCCAGGGAATTATCCAAGGCACCAGACCGAATTCCGATCCATTTGCCTACTTGGAGCTGATTGTGGCTCTCTTATTTGGTTTATTATTTTGGGGATGCCGAGGAGACAAGCCCATGCCAGCGATAAGATACTCCCAAAGCCAGTAACATCAGCGGCAGCAGCTCTCCAAAAGCAACAACTAATTAACAATCGCATTCATTTTATTTATCGTACAAATGCAAACCGCTTGACTTCCAAAAAAAAAACAACAAAAAAAGGAGAAACAAAAGACGAAAACTGTATCTCCATGCATTTATAAAGCCTCGGCGATGTGGATACGGGATTGGGCTCCAGATTGGATTCGGATTGGGATTGGAATCTTCTTGGCCGCTGCTCTGACTTTGGTTCACTTGACTGAACAAAATGTACGCCGAGATATATGTGCCTTGGTATCGCATCTCTTCTCCTCCGCCTCGCGTTGTTTTTCCAGATTCCAGTGGCTTTATCTTGGGCGCGTTAATGAGATTTGCTTGTATCTGAAGCCATTCGGCAGATGCGTATCAGTGGATTTCAATTAATTGTGGCGACGCTTATTAGTCATCCATCTAACAAACTAAACACGCGGCTGGCGCTACCTCAATCTCAATTTCACTCCTGCTCCGTTCTTTTTCTCTAGAGTGCCATTGACCTCCAACTGACCTTGGCTGCTGTGGTTCAAGAGGTGCAGGGCCCTCATTCTGCTATGTTAATAAAATTAAAATTTTATTTCATCCTTACACAGAGCAAAATTTGTCACTTGGCCAAACTCATAATATCTATCTACCAACATATATGGGTTCCCTTATCTGTAGAATACAAATAAATTATATTTTACAATCTAAATAAGTAATGATTCAAATAAAGGGTTGTGAAGTATTCAGTATTTTTCGTTGGTAACTTACAACATAGTTTAAAGCATTTTCTCTATCTGTAATGAAGTTCTGTAATAGCGGCTATTTTCTTTCAAGTGGCGCCTAAAATGGCGCCCCATATCAATTTGATATATAGGGGATATATAAATGTGCCCATATAGACACCAACTAATGGCTTAATTCGGAGGTGTACATATCGATCCTCAATGATCAAGCAGCAGGAACCATTTTAGCCAAATTGCAGTTCTTGGCCAGCAGAACTCTGGAAGGGAGAAGCAACAACAAACAACGGCAGACGGGCGCTACAACAATAAAGAAGAACAACTATTAAGACCGCTTGAACGCCTGTCCGGGATCCAAATAACAGCAACAACAACAAACAGCAACGAAAAACTACAGAAACAAAACCTGAAACATGAAATTCCTGCGTAATTTGTAAGGAAAGGCGTGAAGAACACCAACGAAGGCAACACCTTAATTAATGTTATTAAAATGGAACGAACGACCGACCGATGGACCGATGGACCGATGGACCGGGAACCTGGAACCTGGACAACTTGCAACCTGGAGAACCTGCAACCTGGACCTGGAGTTGAGACCCACAGCCCAAGAAGTCCCGAAAGACAACCCGAAGAATGGGCAGAGAAGAAGGCAAGCGTAAAGGAATGTGGCAAAAAAGGGAAGGGAAAAAGGGTAACGCAAAAAAGGGTCGATCTTCCTCCACAAAAACCTTCTTTGGGTTGGTCAACTCCCGACGTTGACTTCGAAAGTGGCCATTCTGATCTTGGAAAATGGGAAAGTATAAGTCTGTCCTGTAGAGATGTTTTTTGGGCTATCATAGGGCATTGAAGAGCATTACTTAGGAACTGCTGGAACTATAACTACAGCATCCTAACCTCCCGAAGTGCAGTATGGCGCAATCCTAGAAAGCTTACTTAATTTGCCAGCTCGGAACTCAGCCCCAAAGTTACAGGGGGCTTCCTTCGGAGAGTTCCCAGGCACAAAGACGAAATATGGCCATCTGGTGATCAGACACGCTCCATAAGAAAACCCGCAGAGCCACAGAGCAGCACATAAGATCCATGGTCTTCCTCAGAGTCTCCGGCCAGAGTCTGCTGTCAATTGCGACTGGGTTCCCAACGTTCTAAGACGTTAAGGCAGATTTATCACTGGACACTATGGAGCGCTGACTACTTGACATATTCATTAAATTTGCCACATTGTTGCCGGCAAAGGAACGCCAGACAAAGCAGATGATGCTCATCATTTTGACACCTTAATGTGGTAATTAGGGTTTTTCCCCCACTGCCTTCGATGCCGCCGCAGATCCTTAAAAGCCGCTGATCGTGAGCAAATATTAACACAGATCGGATCGGGAGGATCGCAGATGGATGGGCAACGCCCTGGTCTGCTCCGGACTGCTCCGAACTGCTCCGACCCTTAACGGTTTACGGCGAATTGGCTTAAATTATTTAAAGATTACAACCTCCAATCGGGACACAGAAAGGAGCCGGAGGCGGGGATGCGGAAAAAGATCATCACCCGAACGATCTGTCTGCTTTCTGATCGTGAATCCTTTTTCGGGTGTGAAGATTATGACACAGCAGAAATCGCAGGCGGCGGAACCAAAACGAAACGAAACGAAGCGAAAGTCGCTGGCAGCAATTAATTTCAAATTTTTTTCCAACCTTATGGCAGCAGGGCAGCTGGATAGCTGGATATCTGGATATCTGGGTATCTGGGTATCTGGATAGCCGGGTCCCAAGGTGATCCAACGAAATTGCAGACAAATTAAGATAAATGAATTGTTTAATTGTTCCATGTGGCGCAGGATTTTGTGTGGTTTTGCGCCCTGCTAATTTGACTTGTAATGTGAAAAATGATGTAAGGGGTACGGTTCGAAGTGAATTTTTAAGTTTAATTGGCTTAGGGTGGGGAAAAGAGCTGAAATCATCAGTATTAATACGCAAACATTTATTTCGAGATCAATAACCCATGAATCTATCTGAATATATGGAAGGAAGTTCGGGTCAAAGTTCTTTGTATGACTACGAATATAAAGCTATTAGGAAGATTAGGACAGTTGAGCTGAAATTTAAAGACACGCCTCTGCAGATTCGACTTAAAAGACGTTAAGAAATGTGCAATAAATATTTTAAAAATCCTCCTTGGTAGCTCATGTGTTTGCATCCATAAAAATGCAATCAATTTAAGTGTTTTTACAATTCATAATGCTATTAGTTAGGCATTTACACCAGAAGATGCCAGAAGAATCATCAATCAAAATCCTGATGTCTAAATAATGCAACACCAAAGCTGAACCTTTTGCCAACCTTTGTGGTGGCCTATTGTGGCCGCTTTCTGGCTCAACGCCACAAAGGACTACCGCGCTAATTAATACCAAGCCGAGAGCCAGATCTCGATCCGTTCGTGCCACAACTCTTGGGCTTAAGCCACACACGGCTCACGGTCGCCATCTTCATCTCCAGTCCCATCCCCATCTCCACCTCCATCTAAGCTAAATAAAGTTATTAAGCCTTGAAGCCAAGAGGGAAATGTTGCAGTGCCAAAAAAAAAATAAAGGAGGAGCAGGAGAAAGAGTCGGGCTGAGAAGCGAAAGGCCCAAAACGCAGCATGTGTTAAAATTATATAGAGAGTGCGTGTGTGGACCGTGCGAGTGGACCCCCCTAATGGCGATGGACTCAACTGAACTGGACTCGGAGCGAGCTCTCCTCCCGAATCCTCCCGCCCCAGATCCCAGAGTTAATAAAAAACACATAATTGCGTATGTTTTTGGGTCTCTCGCCGGAGATCCGTACCATTCGTATGCCCGCCACATCCACATCCACATCCACGTCCACGTCCACGTCCACATCCATATCCACATCCCATCGGCCGATCAAGTGCGAAGTTCTGCGCAAACGCCAAGCGCCTGTGAAAATATGATTTTTGTTGCCATTTCGTGTTTTGCCACTTTGGAGGTCTTCATCATTTTTTCATCGTTGCTCTCGGTTATTGTTGCCGCTGCTGCATGTTGGATGTTGAATGTTGCTGGTTGCTGGTTGCTGGTTGCCGGTCGCCAGTTGCCAGTTGCCGTGTTTGTGTTGATCTTGGTCTTTGTGTTTCCATAAAACTGACCCCATGGGCAGT